GCCGATGGAACTTCTTTCTCTCTGATGAAAGCTTATACAAAGAAAAATTGTATTGGTCTTGAAGTGCTACTGGAGTTAAATTTTGTTCCACTACTACATGCTAACTTGGCTACCCACTTGAAAATATGTAAATAATGTTTTCAGGGTAGTATTTCTAACTGCATAATTTACCTGTCACTTAAAAACGGGCCACGTATATTTAATTGCATTTAAAATATGTTGTTTCAGTTCCTTCTCTCCCTGTCAATACAGTGCCCAACCCAAAGAAGCTATAGTTGTCAGCACACTGTTACCACAGTAGGTGGCACTGTTTTCAAATAAATGTTTGCAGACACATAACAGAACAAAGTCATTGCACTGTGCATGATTTTATCATCTGGTTTCTGAAAGGCATTCTAAAAATGAAAAGTTTCCTTATTTACACAATTGCATGTATTCTTATTACATGAACATCTTAGAAAAAACCCAGTCACCTTAACAGAATTTACAACCAGAATGCAGAACAAAGGTTGTTTAGATAAATAAAGCTACAGCAGGGCAAACAACTTATTTGTGCCACTGTAGCTGAAGATTGATCTTGTTGGCAGAGTTAGCAAAATCTTTCTCAGGTTGCTCCATCCTATGCACAAGAACAAAGTTTGAGTCCAGAGGCACCTTTAAGACCAACAAAGTTTAATTCTGGGTATAAGCTTTCGGATGCACACATACTTCTTCACAAAATAATTAGACTTTGTTGGTCTTAAAGGTGCCACTGGACTCAAACTTTGTTCTATTGCTTCAGACCAACATGGCTACCCACCTGAATCTATCCTATGCATGTTCACTCAAAAGTAAGGTCCATTGAACTAAATGGATCTTGATGGAACTCTAGTTCTACTTTCGTACTGCAACTTGCATTGGTCCTGCAATTGTCCTCATTGGCCCTGCAGACTGGTGAGAGAGCAATGAGGATAATTGATTACTGAACTGAATGATGCTTATAAAGTTGAATGTAAATACTGTATTATTACTGAAGAAGAGGAGATTGGATTTATACTCCACCCTTCACTATGTGAAGGAATCTCAGAGTGGCTTACAAACTCCTTTCCCTTCCTCTCCCCACAACAGATACCCTGTGAGGTAGTTGGAGCTGAAAGAGCTCTTTAGAGAACTGCTCCTGACAGAACAGCTCTGAAACAACTTATAACTGACCCAAGGTCACACCAGTAGCTGCATGTGGAGACGTGGGGAATCAAACCCAGTTCTCCCAGATTAGAGTCTGTGCTCCTAACCACTACACCAAACTGGCTCTCATTTGTGACCTATTGTAATATTCCTATCAGGAAAGCACCTCAGATATTATGTTTTCAAAACCTCAGTCATAATTCTGCAGAATTAAACTATCCAGTGGCCTAAAATTAGTGGAGTATGTCTAGGGTTGCCGGCCATAGCTGGCACTCTAACAGAAGAATTTGGGAGGCAGGGACAAGCTGTTCAGCATCATGGCAATGCACATCACTTCCAGCACGAAACAAGAAGTCACCATGTTGGGGCAATGTTCTATAGTGTCTACTCTACAGTGTCTTTTACTTATTTATTTACTTTACTTATTTACTTCATTTGTACCCCACCTTCCTCTCCAATGGGGACCCAAAGCAGATTACATCATTATTCACACCTCCATTTTATGTTCGCAACAACCACTCCATGAGGCAGGGTAAACTGAATGCACGTGACTGGCCCAAGCTCACCCAGCAAGCTTCCATAGCAGAGCAGTAGAAAGAGCAAGAGTCCAGTCGCACTTTAAAGACTAACAAAATTTGTGGCAGGGTATGAGCTTTTGTGAGTCAAGTGAGCAGTGACTCATGAAAACTCATACCCACTGCAAATTTTGTTAGTCTTTAAGGTGCTACTGGACTCTTGCTCTTTTCTGCTGCTACAAAGAGACTAACATGGCTACCCATCTTGATCGGTCTCCATAGCAGAGCAGGGATTCATACCTGGATCTCCCAATTTTCTCTCTAGCTTTCCAAATTGTGGCTTCCTTTCCCTCCCCTCTTCTTGCAAAATATTTAGCCCCATTGGTGCCAGCAGGGTCAGAATCATAGAATGTTAGTTGGAAGGGACCCTGCAGGTCATCTAGTCCAACCCCGGCACTCTGCAGGAGCATAGCCGAAAGATAGCCCTACAACATACCCGAAAGATGGTCATCCAGCCTCCGCTTGAAAATGTCCAGTGAAGAAGCATCCACCACCTCCCGAGGCAGACTGTTCCACTGCTCAACCACTCTTACAGTTGGGAAGTTTCTCCTGATATTTAGCTGGTATTGACTCCCTTGTAATTTCCACCCATTAGATCTAGTCTTGCAGTCTGGAGCAAGAGAGAATAGATCTGCTCCATCTTCTGCATGACAGCCCTTCAAATGTTTGAAGACTGCAATCATGTCCCCTCTAAACCTTCTCTTTTCCAGGCTAAACAGACCCAACTCTTTCAGCCTTTCCTCATAAGACTTGGATTCCAACCCTCTCACCATCCTGGTTGCCCTCTTCTGGACACGCTCGAGCTTGTCAACATCCTTCCTAAAATGTGGTGCCCAAAACTGGACACAGTACTCCAGGTGAGGCCTGACCATAGCAGAATGGAGCGGAACTACCACCTCCCGTGATCTGGACACAATGCTTCTGTTAATGCATCCTAAGATTCCATTAGCTTTCTTTACAGTCACATTCGCACTGCAGGCTCATGTTTAGCTTGTGATCAACCAGAATACCTAGAACCCTTTCACATGTGCTGCTGTCAAGTCAAGTCCCTCCCATTCTATATCTGTGCCTTTGATGTTTTGTACCTAAGTGTAGGACTTTGCACTTATTTTATTTGTCTCAGCCCACTGTTCCAGCCTATCTAGATCATTTTGAATCCTGACTCTGTCTTCTTCAGAATTAGCAATCCCATGGAGTTCAAGAGTAGCGCTGCTCCACTCTGTACTGTGGGTTTCTGAGGTTAACTTCGTTTCCTGAAGGGAAGAATGCATATTGGTAGCATAGCACACCTCTATTACGCTCCTTTTAGTCCTGTTGGCTCTAATTGGACTAAAAGCACAAAAGAGTCCTGCTCCATTGCCTTGCAGGAGATCTGATGTGATCTTCCGGTTCCTTGGGGAAAGAGCACTGTACCAGCTCTTAGGAAAACAAAAGTCACACACTGCTCCCTCTGGTGAATCTCCATATGGAAAACCGGAAATTGCCCCAGAGGTCCTTGTGACAATGCATGGACCATTGAAGCAATTTCCCATTTCCCATATCACTGCAAGAGAGGAACCTGCTGATTGTGCTGCATAATTCTCTCATGTTCCCCCGCCTATTCCAGGTGTCCTTCTGTCTTAGAAATGGGGGATCACCAAAGAGGTCCAGACCTGTGATCTTGATGGGAGGGGTGCCTGGAAGAGGCAACAGAGCAAGGGTGTCTTATGTTGCCTCTGCTATTGCCAGGTATTATAACATAAAAACTAGTTGTGGAGCTACGCTTGACAGCGGATCTCATCTGAATATACATTCTGTGGAAAACCTCCTTTGTTTCTCCATAATAAATGCAATAGTGATCTATGATTGGATTATTTTAGACAAATGGCAGCCTGTACTTTAATCTGGGGAGCTACGGTGGCTCAAGTGGTTAAGACGCTGAACTGCAGGCTGTGGAAGGTCGGTAGTTCAGCAGTTTGAGACCCGGGTGCCGCATGACGGAGTGAGCTCCTGTCTCTAGTTCCAGCTCCTGCCAACCTAGCAGTTCGAAAGCAAGAAATTGCAAGTAGATAAATAGGTACCACTTCCGTGGAAAGGTAACAGCGTTCCGTGCGCCTTGGTGTTTACTCATGCCAGCCACATGACCATGGAAACATCTTCGGACAGCGCTGGCTCGTCGGCTTTGAAACGGAGATGAGCACCGCAACCCTAGAGTCGGATTCAACTGGCTTTCGAGCAAGGGAACCTTTACCTTTACTTTAATCTGCAAAAGGACACTGCTCCTGCACTTGCAGGAAAAAAAGGAAGGCACAAAAATGGTAAAATGCTATAAATTACCCGTATGCCTGTGTATTTCACCATAAGCCCATTACTTTAGGAAGCTGCTGATCAAAAGGATTTCTCAGAGAACATCTTTGTCTACTCCTGCACAAAACATTTTATCCTGCTCCATGTGTACAGCTACTCATCGGTTTTGTTTACATGCTCTGTACTGACCTGTGTTTGAAAATTTACTACAGCACTTGATTCAGTTCTGCATGCAAAAGGCTGCCAGAATATAATAATAATATAATATAATATATAATATAATATAATGCTAATTTGTTATCTAGTTGTGTATGTACATGTGTAAAACAGTATCAGTGTCTAGGCATTAAAAGTTTCCCATCACTCAAGGTTTAGGCAGAAAACTGCTTGGTTGTCTAGACACATAAAAAGGCTGTTTGTTGATAAGGTGCATGTTTGTTCCTAAACCACTACCCATATTTTCAGATATAATAGGGTTTTTCATATTTGCATATGTATGCTTGCATGCACGTCTGTAAAAACCATGTAAACCGTGTCTGGCTGCGAGCATGAGTGTATTCTTTTCTGTGGGCTACATCATTACCCAGTCGGATGTATGCATAAGGCAGTGCCACAAGTTAATCTTCACTACTCTGCCCTAAACATATTTTGGGTGCCCCGTGCATCAAATGTCTTTGCATGGACTTGATGTACAAAACCAGCGACACCCCTCCCCCCCCCCGCCACATACAAGCGCCCCCCCTCCCCCACCGCCACAGAAAGCTGCTAATTCTTCCAGGGGTTTTTGCGCGCAGCCCGAGGGCGCGTTGCAGAAGGGAGCCCCCAACTCCCCCTCCCCGCGTGTGGGTGCGCGCGCGCGTGTGACAAGCTGAGCGTGTCTGGGGCGGGGAAGGCTCCGTGACCTTGGGCGGCGGCGGGCACCTGTTTCCCAAGCAGCCGGGAGGCGGCGGCGGCGGC